ATGAAATATATACGGTCTCCACGCGTTTGCTTTTAACCAATCATATTCCTAGAAATGTATAGGAGGTAAGATACATATCAATATTGTCTTTATCTAATTTCTATCAAAAAATGTCATAAAACAGTCACAACCAGTATCATTTCCAGACTGTTTTAGATGCATCATAACAATTTAAAATCTTATTATCCTTCACCGGCAGAAGTGTTTAACATCAAATCAGTGTTAGCCAAGGATCCACATGGAAGGCTATTGGTTATCTTGTGATTGGATATGCTATTTTACCAATTAATTCGTAAATAAATAGGGAACATTGGTCTGGTGCAAAACAAACTTTGTACCAAAGTTGCTTCCTAAAACTAAAAATGAAGCAAAAGAGGGTATGGGGTTTAGTGCCTATGTTGTTTTGTGCAAAGAATACTCTGTGACAGGGAGTTACAATCAGAATCAGTACTACTAATAATGATTGGATTGTCTTCCCTCAAACAGATTAATCTTTGCAGTGATCTACTCGTACAAAGACAGAACATATACATGTACATGAGAAGCCCAAAATATATGTACTTACTGCCATTTTGCCATTTCAAGGTATTTCAAATATTTATTACCCTTGCTAAAATAATTAAAATTAAAAAGAACTACTCCATAATATTTGTGTGGTTTTCACTTTTATAGTTGTGAAAGGGCTTTTTAAATTAGTAAGCATAATTTGTTGGTATTCTCACCGTAAATAACAGCTCGTTTACTTGAACCCTAAGCAGTATTTTTTGTAAGTTTTATGTTATACAATAACTATAAATATATATCAGGTTTAGAAATTGCAACAATCAACATTATCTATCTATCTGCGTGACAATTTTAAACATTAAATTTGCAAAAGTGCATCCTCCAGATACGCACAAACAAAAGTATATGCATATGTCAGACTTGCAATCTGTTGTAAATATCAAATTACTAAATTTTGCCATTTAACAACTATGCATTGCAAATGCTATGTAGAAAATATAAAAAAGTATAATTGTGATTAGCAAAACATTTATAAAAGGTTGGTACAAATTTTGTTTGACATAAATTATGTAGTTGTTACACAGGAACATGAATTCTGGAAACACCCATTCATTCATATATTAAAATGTTGTAAAAATAATAACCCAAAAACATATTCCCAGAAAAGCCTAACCCATTCATTTTATTTCTAATTTATAACATATACACTTTATTACACGTTTAATTAAATTATTCCAATAACACACCATTGATACAAAATTATAATTGAATAAATGAAAATTGATGACCTATTGACATTTTACATTGCTTCAGTTGAAACCCATTATACATTTTACTTTCCAAAAAAGGACCCATTCAAGCGGGACGTCTGTTCTTAGATTTGTGTTATCTTATTTCTTACATTTAAAAAGTCTTTCAGAATAAGAATAGTAAGTATCAGAATCACTTGACTCTTCATTTTGTTTCCGTTTTAAACATAAGAAAAGAGATGTATCATGTTCTTCAGATGGTGTCTTAATTTCAGTTTTGCTGATGGTAGTATGAATGAATTCAACTGATGCTTGTGCATGACTTGATTAGTTGGACACTGCGTTTCAGCATCACTTAAACTAATACCATCTGGCCCCTCAGGCTCAAACAGCAACTGACTGTCAAAGTCATCATAACTTAAAGACTGGAATGATTTTTCCGGCAGGTACATATCTGTCCTAGAAAAAGTTGGCATCTGAGTTTCATCATCACTAAATGAATGTGAAACAACAGAAGTCATACTTTCTCTAGGTAATTCAATTTCATCTGAACCAGAAGAAAAATAGAGTTTCACTGTTATTTCACTTGTAAGTTCAGATGTGACGTCTGTCACACTACCTGATTTATCTGATACTCTCATGCTCATAACAAATGCGAAAAGAGAATCAGATAAATCATAAGTACATGTACTTGCAGCAACAATTATACTTGAATATCTTCTACATATACAACAGGAGCAGTCTAAACCTAGATAAGGAACATGATCTGCAAGAGTATCTGAAATAGTGTCATCTGGCAGTATTTCACTATAATTTCCAGTAATAAATCTGTACATAATTGCATAGCGAAAATTATCAAAACTATAAAATGTCTGCCAATTACTACCCAGGGACAAGTTATCACCTGTTGCCATTTCTGTAATGTGTATAAAAACATTATTTCTAATATTTAAAAAAAAAAATGTTGATGCCCATATATTCAACCTATTACTTATTCTTTCACACGAACACTTAATTTATGTCTGCGACATAATAGATGTAAAAAAAAACATGCAAATTAAGATCAACATAAGGAGTTAAATAACAAATTTCAATGATTAAGTTTTAGACTTACTTGTCTGTCAAATAACTGTGCTCTTCAAAATATCTATGTGACAGAATACCCTAATAGCTCTCAATCTGTAAACATTTTTAGAATTGTTTATTCATATTGCATATATATATATATGTATATATAACTCCTTGTTAAAGTTGTATAAACCTTGTGACTAAGTTTTCTTTTTTATCAGAATTTAATAAAAAATGTGTACGTATTACACAATTTACAAAGGGAAGTAATCCATATATGAAATGATTATCTCCCTTGTTATCATATTTTCATTCAGGTACATGCATTGACTATTCTTTATTTCATAATGTGGTATTTTATTTATAACCTTATTGTCTTTTAAATCAATGTTTTAATTGTATGAATGATTTCTTGGAAGAGTTGGATTATATTTCTCTTAGTTGTGCTACTTTCCCAAAATATGACACTTTTTTTTGCTAATAAAAAGTTATGTTTATTGATCACACTTAGTTTTATTTTGTAACCCAGATTTGTTTTTTTCTCAATCGATTCATAACTTTTGTACAGCGGTATACTACTGTTGCCTTTAATTAGCTGGAACCCTGAGGTTACATAACACTTCCATTGCCCGATTTTAATGGTCCACACGAACAGGTGTAATAACCGTTCAACATGCTTACATGTACAGATAAAATTAAGAATGGAAATGGGGAATCAACTAGTTTAAAGCAGAGGATGAATAAGGACCATGAGATGCATGAAAAAAATTGAAGAAACATATGTTATTGGTTGACATTATCAAAGTGATTTTGTAGACATACATGACTATGATATTGGATGATTAAATTAATCAAACTAGCATTCCCAATTGAACAAAACATCAAAATGTCCAAATCCCCAAATCCCCAAATTCTTTTTCAATAGCTCTTTAAGATCAGCACTTTTATCTAAAAATCATAGAAATCATCTATTATCATAATTCTTGATATTGGTATAATGCAATTAGTTATCAAAGGTACCAGAGTTATAATTTATTACGCCAGACGCGCGTTTCGTCTACATAAGACTCACCAGTGACGCTCATATAAAAATAGTTATAAAGTAAAACAAGTAGAATGTTGAAAAACATTGAGGACCGAAATTCAAAAAAGTTGTACAAATACGGCTAAGGTAATCTATGCCTGGGATAAAATTGAAAATACTTACATAATGATAATACGATTATTATGTTAAATTCATCAAAATCATTGAGTATTTTCACACTACCATTTATGAATTGTTTAACATTCTTCAGTATTAATATCCAACAAATAGCTGTCACTACTTTAGTAAGCATATTTTATATAAACATAAGAAGATGTTTTTTAATTAAAGTTAAAATGTCAAATGTCAATGGTTTATTCAAGTCGAATCACAACAAGTAACAAATATTGCAAACAAAATACAGTTATATGTATCAAACAAGTAAAATATTTGTATACACCATTTTTTGAGACTATATACATACAATATTTATATCAATCTGTGAACACTCAGGACAGAGAAATAAATAAACAAATAATATAATAGTACCTTAAACATAAAAAAAACACAGAAAAACAACGGACACCTACAATGAGTTTACGACAGTACCCCAGGAAAACACAAACGAATTATAAACTGTACGTTCCACGAATATATCAACGCCACTAAAAGTGACGTATTTTTTGTTACCTTTATATTATCACAGGTAAATTTCTAAAAATAGAACACATTTGTTTTACTGTAGACATGAACAAGAATATAAATAAACGCAACAGTAGCATACCGCTGTTCAAAAGCCATAAATCGATTGAGAGAAAACAAATCCGGGTTACAAACTAAAACCGAGGGAAACACATCAACTATAAGAGGAAACAACTAAACAACAGAAATACTGTAGTGCAACAAAAACAAACGCCAACATACATAGAAACGGACTATTTTAGGAAACAAATGGTGGGTTGAACCTGGTTTTATGGCTAGCCAAACCTCCCGCTTATATGGCAATGTTAAAACATATCGCTTAAAAGAAAACACTTCAGGAATAAAGTACAAACAAACGCAAGAACTCCCAGCACATAGAAACGCATAAATAATATAATATAATAGTACATTACAACATGTAAACCGCAGAATAACAACGGACATCTTCCATAAAAGACAGCACAGGACTCCACAAACTGACGTATTTTTGTGACGTATATATAATCTTGAAAGTTATACAATTAAATGGAACGAGATCGAAAATTTAACAATTACTTTCACAATACTAGTCCAAATAATTATCATGATTATGACGGTATTGAAAGGCTATTTTAAATTAAAGCTGTAAAATTAGGATTGAGTTTCTAATGTGTTATTTTATGTATTTTCTAACCAACACAGGAATATTAAAATGAAATTGTATTTGTAATGGTGTTATTATTTGTGTTTTGTAACCATGTCGATATTTCCTCATAATCAAAACTGTATAAATAAAAATCAGTGCATATATCTGTTTTAATAATTAAAATAGTTATCGATGAAATTTTCCGATAACGGTTGTCATAATTGTTTGCAAGAACAACGAAGAAGGATGCTAACTCTCTTTACACTTACAGAAGTAATAATTTCTTACTTTACACTATCGTGTTATATACAAAACGTTTTAGGTTTATTTCAGAAAAACAAACAGATGGACGCACATGTGATTTTTGCATTGGAAAATACAGGACAAAAGATGTGTCTTCGGGAATGTACGCATTATAAAGGTTGTAGTGGTGTCAATTACAGACCAGATACCCTGACTTGCCAACTGTTGTCTGTATCCTCACCAGCAGACCAACTTAAATATAGTGAAGGGTTTTCATTTGCTTACTTAGACAATCATACTGTGGTAAGATTTTTATTCTGATTCTGATTCATGACTTTTGTTATTATCATTAAGCAGCAGTAGTAGTAGTAGTAGTAGTAGTAGTAGTTGTTGTAGTTTTAGTATTAGTAGCTAAGTGATAGTAGCAATAAAAGAATATGTAGTAATAGTTGATGGATGTTGTTGAAGTGTTATTATAGTAAAAGAAAAACCAGTACACCCTTTATCGGTGAATTGCTGTGCTGGTGCTTACGATCAGAAAACAAACAAAAGTAACTTTACAACGCAATGGTTCGTAACCAAGTATTATTGGAAAAAATAGTTCACGACACCCCTTTACTAAATTTGTTTCAATATTGGAAAAGAAAATCTATGTAAAAAGGGTCCATGATAATTTAATGAAATACTGAGCAAAAATTGTATCAAAGGGAGACGACTTGTATTGTTGGTCTTCTTGACAATTACATTGAGATTTTTAACTTCTGTAAGAGCATGAATAAGAGGTCCTAATTACTTATAAATGTGTCTTTCTTTTAATTCTTGTGTAATCGCTACATATGTATATAATTTGAAGAAAATATGTCAAAAAGAAATAATTTAACTTTACCAAATTTCCTTTTAAATAATCATTATTTATATATATACAATGTAAATATTAATGTAAAATCTTTCATGATATACTGTCATTATTTTGCACTAGACGTTAAGAGCGTTTGTTGCAAAGGACACGTTAACTGTTCTGATTTTCTTTATATAACTATTATTTCAGGATGGAGATAGTTGTCTGCCTACGAATCCTTGTAAAGAACGTGAAAGGTGTGTTCCATTGAATATGAATGGACACGTTTGCCTATCATATCGTAAGTAGAATTAAACACTGACTTACTGACATAGAGAGAGTCAACTTCTTACTATTTAGCCGGTATTTTGTTCCTTTTTGAATATATTACATGTGCAACGTTTATTTAATGTTCAATTTTCTTAAGAGGTAGAAATGCCTCTGTGGTTCCTCTTAACGTGTATCATATAATATATTTTTTAAGCATTCCTTTCGATCACCTATAAAGATGTATTTAGTTATTACACAGTATGAATAAATAAGAAGAAACGAAAGTGACAGTTAAAATTAGAAGAAACAAAAGGGACAGTAAAATTCAGATGAAACCAAAAGGACAGTAAAGTAAACGGAAACCAGAGGTAGAATCAAGTCATTGGAGCAAAAGAGACTGTTAAAGTCCGAAGAAACCAAAGGGGTAGTCCTTAGAGAAAATCAAAGGGGTGGTAAAAGAAAGAAAAAAAAAACAAATGAAAAGTTAAATCAGAGGAAACCGAAATGTCAGTGAAATTCAGATGAAACCTATGGGACAGTTAAAGTCAAAGGAAACGATAGAGAGAGTCAAGTCAGAGAAAACAAAAGGGACATGTTAATACAGAAATAAACTACATTACCAATAAAAATCAGGGGAAACCAAAGAAATAGTAAAAGTCAGAGGAAACAAAAGGGACATTAAAAGTCAGCGAACATCAAAAGAGCTGTAAAGTTCAGAATAACCAAAGAGACAGTAAAACGTCATGGTTAACTAAAGGAAGAATGAAGTCAGGAAAACAAAGGAATAGAGGAAACCAATCGGAGAGTCGTGAGAGGAAACCAAAAGGATAGTAAAAGTAAGAAGACCCCAAATGAAGAGTAAAATCAGAAGAAACCAAACGGACAGTGGAAAATACAAGGAAACCAAAGGGAGAGTCAAATCAGATGAACTCAAAGGGACAGTATAAATCAGACGAATCAAAAGGGACAGTAAAAGTCAGAGGAAACTAAAGGGACAGTAAAAGTCAGGGAAAACTAAAGTGAGAGTCAAGCCAGACGAAACCAAAGAAGGATATTGCAAATGAGAGGAAACCAGACAGTAAAAGTCAGAGGACACCGAAGGAACTGTGAAATCCAGAGGTAACCAAAGGGACAGTAAAATCCAAAGGTAACCAAAGGGACATTAAAAGTAAAATGTAGGACACAACATTGCAAAAGAAAAAAAAAGAAAAAAATCAATAAATAGTTTACAAAACATCACACAGATTACTTATGTTGAGAAAAACTCCCCTTTTAAAAACGTAGGTTAGTCTAAAAAAATGTATTTTCTGATTGAACATCCATCAAATTTCAACAATAAACAGATCGATTGACCTTAATATGTTTGCTAATAGAGATTAGTAATAAATAAATAGTCAATGGCAGCAAAAATCGATTTTTCATATTGTTTTTCTCTAAATACATTTCATTTCACACATGGACTCTATTCATTCTCTTGGTTGAAATGTTCACTTCTGCAATTCAAATATGAGAACCTGTCACCTTTTTCAAAATCCTAAATTTACAAATGCATTTGTGCATCGACTGTGTGTTTCTGGTTTGTATAAGTATATATCCTTCATTGATTGTGTTGAGTTAATGATGTTAGTTGATGACGACGTGGTTGCTAGGAAAAAAATGAAATGTGTCGGTTCATGTTATTGACGCAATAGCAACAACTCGCAACACTAATCAAACCACTCCAACTTGAACAATTAACAGCTTTTTATTGATAGTGTTTTTGAAGACCAAGTTTCATCCCAGCAATTACAATTTTAGGGATTTATTCTGTTCTCTCGAGGGCCTGAAATGTCATGGCTGAATGAAGAGCAAAGGGATTTAACGATTTTACGAAGTTATAGATAATAAAATATCTAACATTGCAACTACCAATTATATTTGTTAATGATATTTAAAAATAAAATGAAAATGAAGCTATATAAATGAATTGTTGTACTAGAATTTTCCCATGTGTATATTTTCTTTTCTCTTGCTCCAGCTAAGCTGGACAGGGATTTATTCCTTTAAAGGGATCAGTAAATCCGAATGTGCCTTGTATTCAGCAAACCCTCTATAAAATAAATCAATATCTACATCACTACCAGTGTAGAAAAACAGTGAATAAAATGTATATCGACTATACAAGATATCATCGAGCTTTACTTTTAACAACAAATGTAATTGAACGGACAACCAATAGATTTCAGTTTGAATTACCTGAAGGGGGACACAAGAATAAACAGATAAACTTATTCAACCTGAAATCCATTCATGTTTTGACTATAATGTTTCCATTCATGTTTTGAATATAATGTTTCCATTTATGTTTTGACTATAATGTTTCCATGCATGTTTTGACTATAATGTTTCCATTCATGTTTTGACTATAATGTTTCCATTCATGTTTTGACTTACAGCTTAATAAATAGTTCATTAGTTTAACCATATTTTATTGCTAAAAACGACAAATGGATCAGACACAAGTTTTACAACTTAGTAACGTCTTCTTCAAAACAACAAAAAATATACACATTAATTAACGAATACATCAAATAAGCCATAGTAACAATTGATTAAAGAATAAAGACATGAAAACAAAAAGAAATTTGTTGAAACGAATCAATGGATTTTAATCGAGTGAATCTTTTTACAGTATAAATATAAAACAAACACACCGAATTGTTATTTCCCATTATGCATTTGATAAAAGTGGTATGCATTTGAAATGGTAAACCATAAGTGATAGAGACCTAGGGTCTTTTGAAATGAGGTCCTTGTTCCGAAAAAAAAAAGAAAATTAGGTCATGGTCTAAGGTCAAGGTCATGTTCTATTCAATTTTGATTTTGGCTTATTATCACTGCGTTTCAAAAACCGTATAATATATCGACAATAACTATCACTAAATTGTTAGTTGTGATATGTCGTAACAAATACATTTTGGTTAAAAGGGTACGTTGATACTAAATGGAAGTTTTCTCCCCTTTTATATTTAAAATCATGCATATAGTGATATTACTCAATAACCATATATGATAAAGACCTAGGGTATTTTGATTTGAGTTCATTGGTTTATGACCTTGAAATTGAGGTCAATGTCACAGTTTTTCTTGACGTTCTAGATTTTGACCTTTGCGTTAAATTCATATGTATATATGATAAAGCCATTGGATTTTTTGCATTAGGTTGCAAGCCATATAACCTTGAAAAAGACAACCGGAAATAACCTTGTGTAAACCGAAAGTCGTTATATGATAAAGACCTAGGGTATTTTGATTTGAGTTCCCTGATTTATGACCTTGAAATTGAGGTCAATGTCACAGGTACTTTTGACGTTCTAGATTTTGACCTTAGTTTTGAATTCACATGTATACATGATAAAGCCATGGGATTTTATGCATTAGGTTGCAGGCCATATGACCTTGAAAAAGACAAAAGGAAACCTTGTGTAAACCCGAAGTCCTTATTTTAAACTAATTTAATGTAAAGTATATAGAACCATTTATTTGTGGAATCGGTGTCATGTAAACTATCAAATAATATTGGATGGGGAAAATTTTCAAACCGGAAGTAACAAATTGTCTCCTTATTTCAAACAACAGTGTAAATAAACCATTTATTTTTGGAATCAGCGCACAATAAGCTATCATATGACACTGGCAATGCTATTTTTAACCAGATTGTAATATTGAGGTCTTTCCACTTTTCTGTGGAAAGACCTAGTGTATTTGTTCTGATTATTATTATTATTATTTTTTTTTTTTTTTTCTTCCGCCTAATTTTGTTCTCACGTAAAATTTTTGTTTCGAAGGATGTCGCTTAGATATTTCTTATATAATATCATACAGTTTATGCGCTTTTTATTTTTACCCATTCTAAGCCGAACAATTTTCTTTGTAGGAGTTATCTCCCTGAACACTGTTTTCCTTGTTACTGCATCTCCTCCGTAACCGTAAAAGAAAGCGACAAATTTATTTTACCAAATTGCTCATTATATCCTCAGGATGTTTTGTCCAATTTTGACCGAGGCGATACGTAAACTCCATATGAGAGTTATTTCCCCTTCTGTATTTGACATAAGGGATATATAAATGTATAGCATGAATGGTAAGTGATAGAGACCTAAGGTATTGATTTGAGTTCCTTGGTTCATTTAAATGAAATTGAGGCCAAGGTCAAAGGTCAAGGTCATATTCTAAATTTTGACTTTTCCTTGTTATTTGATCTCCTCTGTCACTTTTAAAGATACAAATTAAAGAACAAGTGCAAAATGTTTGCCTAATTGTGATTAAGATATGATACATTTGGTCTGAAACAATCCAATGACATCTTATAGGAGTTATTGTCCCTGAAATGATTCAATTTAAGGTTAATTGATTATGACTCCAACTTGTTACATGATAAAGTCATAGGGTGTTTTGCAAACTGTTGGTTGACATATGACCTTGAAAAATGTCTATCGGAAGTGACCTTGAAATAACCGGAAGTAGTATTTTTTGCACTTATATCATGAAAAAGTACTTAGAAACCATATATTTTTTGAATGACCATAGGTTAACCTATCTTTTGAGACCGAAAGTAACATTTTATAAACAGGAAGTAGCATATTATCTTCCTTATTTCAGGCATAAGTATATACAAACTATAAATTTTGGAATCAGTGTGAATAAAGCTATCATATGAGACCGGAAGTGACATTTTCTAAACCGGAAGTAGCTAATTATCTCCCTTTTTACATGCAAAAGTATATATAAACCATATATTTTTGGAATCAGTAAAAATAAAGCTATCATATGAGACCGGAAGTGACATTTTCTAAACCGGAAGTTGGCAATTATCTCCCTTATTTCAGGCAAAAGTATATAGAAACCATATATAAATTGAATCAGTATGAAGAAACCAAAGCTTGGACGCCAATAGTAATTTTGAGTAAACTGGATGTAGCTTCTCATCAATAATTTAGAACATTGATGTGGAAAGACCTTCAATTGTTCTCTGAACTATTGGTTTTTAAT